CTGCCCCTCCCGCGAGCCCCAGGCCCACCGGCGGTGGCGGCGCACGATTAGTACGTCACACCCGGCGAACAGCGCCGGCGCGGCCACCACGCGCCCAGCCCCGCCCACCCAAGCACGGAGACTCCACGAGACTGCCCCGCCCGCGAGCTCTACGCAGGGCTGCGCCTGCGCACACCAACTGACCTGGCCGCGCGTGGCTGCCCAGCGGATGACTTGCTGGCGCATGCGTCACGCCCTACTGCGTAGCCCTGCGGTCTCCACGCTCGTGCGTGGGAGTTTAGGGGCTCGGGTTCCTCGGTGTAGGGACGCGCTCTAGAGCGGGGTAGGGAGATCCTGCACGGGACTCGTGGGCTTGTGGAACCGGCATACTGTCCATTCTCTTTATTTTACTTTGAACAGAACAGAAAGAAGATCTCAGGAGTGAGGCAAGACTAGCATCCGGGCGGTCGAGTCGTCCAAGGCTCCCCAGGGACCAGTCTTAGCCCAGAGGAGCTTTGAGTGGCCTGGCACCTCAGAGGGTGGAAGGCTGGAAGGCAAAGGAAGAATAACGTGCCTGCCATGGAGCGTTGTCGTTGTCGGACACCCCCAACTGACATGCCCAAAATAGACACATCTCTGGAGATAGTGACGGGAACTGGGGCCCAGTAGATGGAGAGAAGGAAGTGAGGCTGAGGCTTGTTGGGAGTGAAGAGGCAGAGGGTACCTGGCGAGAGGGGTGGCACGGGGAGCCCGGGGTTTTCCCCAGCAGAGGAAGGCCTAAGCTCATGGGCGGGGCGGTTCCCTCGAGCTGCCGCTAGATGGAGGTGCTGTTCTGGATGCATTCCAGTGGCTCCGTAGCAGGTCTGCACAATCCCTGGCACCCACCCCAGCCCCCACTGGGCGCGCGCGCGCACATACACACAACACAGGAACTTCGGGCTGGATGGAGGATAAAAGTAAGATACTCTACCTCTTTAATATCCATGAAATTGAAGTATAGGATATGGGGGTGGACAGAGAGGAGGAACAGGAGTCTCCAAGTCAAACCCAGGAAGAGGCCTCTGTCCTGTCTGTTCTCTGTCCTTTGTCTAGTCAGCTCTTAGCTGTCTCTGATAGTACCCACTCTCGGTTTTCAAGCTCAGAACGACCTTTTATTATAATACAATCACAGTTTCACAAATCCCAGGAACGTTCCATGTGGAGAAAGGCTAAGTTTTGCCCTTGCTCGGGGAATTACAACACTCAGAATATCTCCTTGGTGTAAATGGAAGACACCTGAGAAGGAGAAGATGCTCAGTGAAGCTCAGCCATCCAGAAACTGAGGTTCCCCCTGAGCTCCACCCTTCCTCTGGTCCTGTGAGGACCTAGGTATTATGTGACCACCTCTATACCCAGGCTTCCCACCCTCCTTGTAGCGCCTCCCACTGCCACCCCGGTCAAAGATGTCCAGCTCTTGTGGCCACCCTGCACTCTCATGGCTCTCACCTGCGCTGTAGCAGCTATTGTAAGCCCGGTCCGGGTTGGAAGGCATGCTCCGTATACATCGGAATAGAGTTTCCTGTCCTCCCTGGCCCTCCCGAGACACCACCTGACCCATGGTGAAAGTCACATCATGAAACAGGACCTGGCAGGGAAGGGAAATGTTCAAAGAGACAAGATGGTGGAACCAACAGATCGTGTAGCAGTTATGTTGCTGGACTCCCACATGGCTGATCGTGTGGTTCAAGTCCTGGACCTGGTGGCTTGAAACTCACACGGATTGCATCCGTGTGCATGCCCATGATCCCAGGAGAAGAATTGAGAAGAGATTGTGACATGGCCATCCCTTCTGGGGAGGGGGATGATTTCTCACTTTGCTGCTCACTGTCTGTCTCTCTGGCAAGCACACGTGCCCTAAAGCAGAAACGCCTTAAAAAAAGAAAAACAGGATGGCATGGTTCAGTTCTGGGAAGCCTCAGGACCCCGGAAAAGGGAGCTGGACAATGAAGAAGGGCCTTCTAAGTTTAGTATGGACAGACGGGGGAACCTTCAGTACCAGGGCATACAGGCTCTTGGGAGAACAGCAGCTTGCCTCCAGGCCCCCCTGTAAGACCCAGGGCATGTCCGGAATTACCTGACTGTACAGCAGGTAAACACCAGTGTCCCAGACCCGAACAACGTATCCTTGGGCTTCCAGGCCTTTCCCACGCCTCAGAGCTGGCTGCCACATCACCTCTGTCACATCAGCGTCCTCTGGATATGAGCAGTATGGCAGTCAGGATTTCTTTGTACTCTCACAAGTAACTACTCCACATCACTTAAGATTCTCTTGGGCCCAGGCGCCAGTCCCTCAGTTCCTGGTCCTTGTCCTCTCCCAAAGCCATTATTTAAAATAGTGCTCACCCTTGGAGGTGCTGTTAATGGGAACAAGGTGCAGGACCGAGCGCTTCTCTGAGGAGAGAAGGAGGAGATCTCAGCAGGATCCACCTACCTCAAGTGGCCTGTTGCCAGCCCTCCACCCTCACCCTGGCTCATGCTAACAGGCCCCATGCTTCTCAATTCCCTCCCACCCTGCACCCCTCAGGCCTCACTCTTCTGTTTAGGGGTGAGTGCTGCTCTCCTTCTCCGAGGTCTCTCTCCATTCTCCCAGGCTTCTGGGGCATCAGGACTCTGCCCCTGGAAAGAGGCTCAGGGTTAGATTCAGAAGCAAGGGTCCCAGGCAGCCTTCCTTCCCAGTCCTCCCTGTACCCAGGAACACCTCAAATCTCTCGTGCTTCTTTCCCCAGCACCCTGAGTCTCAGTGCTGGCTGTCCTCCAGGATCTGTCAGGTACAAGATGCATTAATCTTTAACAGTTTCCTTTCCTGGAGTGGCCGCTTCCTTGATTTCCAAACCCGGGACCCTCTATTGGACCCATTTGAAACTGCAGACCAAGAAGCAGGAACTGAGAGGCCCAGAGACATCTCCCACCCTCCACCCCTCATCTTTCTCTCCCAGACACCCTTCTCCCCTCACCTGTTCCTGGAGGCTCTGCCAGGGATACCCTTCCCCCTCCTGGGAGGGCCCTCCAGTCCTCTGCAGCCGGCTCACCTCTCTCCTTAGGCTTTGCAGTTCTGTTTGTTGGGTCAGCAGAGCCATGGCACACGCCACAGCCCCCAGAGCTGCCCCCCAACTCAACCAGAGAGCAACTGAGAGTGCCGGCTCTCGGACCGGGCCCCCCATGTCACCCGGGGGCGCTTTGGGGGCTAGCAAGAAAGGAGATGAGACTGTCATGAGCGGGGAATTCTGCCAGCAGCTGTGGCCTCAGTGGTAGGGAGGTGGTGGGGAGATAGGGGTGCAGGCAATGGTGCAGAATGGAGGAAGGACGTTACGCAAGGGAGAAATAAAAAGGAACTTGAGAATAAAAAGGGAGGAGGAAAGCAAGCTAAAGGCACCCCCCCACCACCACCACTGTGGGGCCAATGTCGCCCTGAGGTCCCCCGCCCTCCTCCAGCCTCAGGGAAATTTGGTGCCAGTCTCTCTAGGAAGGACGAGGCTGCTGGTGGTGACACCCAGGAGGAGCGGCCAGAGCACAGGAACCCTGGGGCAGCCGCAGAGTTGGGGGAGGGAAGGTTGGTGGCTATGGGCATGGTGCCAGGAGCAGGGATGGGGGACAAGCTGGGCAGGTCGAGGGTGGGGAAAGAAGAGAGGGTGGAAGAGCTGCTAGCTCAGGTACAGGACAGACCTCCGGGGGCTCACTGGAGTGACACTGTGGGAGAGCGGAGGGGGTCGGTGGGGAGAACGGGGAGTGCAGAAGCAAGACACTGGCCGATCGGGGTTAAGGCCAGCCGGCTGTGTTGGAGTAAGGCCGGCCTGCCGCTGCTCCGTGCTGAACTTGGCAAGCAGGGCTTCCTGTTTCCCGAGAAAAGCTCTTACATAAGGCTCTGGACAAGGAGACAAAGAGGCAGCCCCAAGCCCCCCAGCCACTGCCGGACTCCTCCTCAGGACTGGGGACACACACTCCCATGTGCCTGGGCCCCCAGGTCCTGTCTGCTGGCTGAGTCCCCCTCCAGGCCTGCTCCCACCCAGTCTCCCAGCCAGGGCCTTATACCAGCACCTGCAGAATGTCCTGAGGCCTCTAGGAGGAAGGGCCCCTGCGCCTCCCAGCCAGGGATTCCCCCGCAGGAGGAAGCCCGCCTCCTAGGGAAATGAGGCTGTGCCGCACCTTGGGCAGAGGATTGATTTTTTTTTTTTCCCCTGGGGAGAGTGACTTTCCACTCTACTCACACCTAGGGCTGGAGGAATGTCAGTCCCCGCCCCCAAGCCTGAGTGTCACCCTGGAACTGCTGCCATTCTGCACCCTGGCCCCCTCCCCCCATGCCCAGCCCAGCTTCCCATGGCCTTCAGCTCCCCTGGGAATATCCCCTGAGCCCCAATAAAGACAGAGTCCATGACTTACTCTCTTTAATATTCACTTATCAACATTTTGTCACAATAATAATAAAAATAGTATCTGTTTTAAAAATCCACAGGGAGTTATGGAGGGAGGAGCCTGTGTCGGCCTCTCACCCCTCACATCTGGGAGCTCCTGGCCTAGTCCCAGTCTCTCTGGCTTCCTGCTGCCAAGCCCAGCCCCTCCCAGTGCGTGTGGTGGGTTCTTTTGGACCCATCTTGTCCACAGAGTACAGCGAACAATGTTCCGGGGGCTGTGGCCAGTAGGAGTCAGGGTGAATGAGGGCATCAAAACGTCAGGGGTTTGGGAGCTGGGAGGTGCAGAGTGGGAGGTGGGGAGTGTCGAAGAGACGAGGCTATTTATGTGGGATGGGAACATGGGGCCGAACCCTGGCAGTCTATAGAGGGAGGGGCAGATCTGGGGTGAGGAGCAGCTTAGGGTTGGGCAGAGAGGACAGGGATGTTTGATGTGGGAGAATCTGGGACCCCTCACTGCACTTGGAAGAGTCCAAAGTAGGTGAGAAAGGGGGCAGCCTTGAGATGGGCCCGGGGGAGGGTGCGGATCCGCAGGGAGGACCCTAGCCGCAGGGGCAGCAGCCCAGACACCTGGCAGAGGCGAAGTTGGGGCCCTGGGGAGCTCGCTACGGTGGCGGAGAACTCCTCCAGGCAGCGCCGGGCCAGCATGTTATCCACCAGCAAGTCCAGCTTCAGGTAGACAGCCTTCCCCTCGTCAAAGTGCACCTGGGCAGGGGAGGGCAGGCAGAGTCCAGGCCTCCGCACACCCCACGCCATCCAAATTTCTTTAGAGACTCAGGCATCCCATCTGCCTCCCGGCCTTTAGCGCCCCTCAGGTACCCACAGAGCTGGGTGTGTGTGCGTGTGCTTACCTGGCAGTAAAGGTAGTACAGCCCAGCCCGAGTGACTGTAAATTCCCCAATCTGTCGGTCATAGCGCAGAGGGTTGGAGCTGTTGATTTTGGCTTCTTCCCAGCCGCTCACTGTCCCGTCCACACCTGAATGTGGATGTTGAGAGGTAAGGAACCATCTCCTTATGGGACGTCCCCACACTCCCCAGAGGCCAAAGGTAAGAAACCATCCCCTTACGGGACATCCCCACACTCCCCAGAGGCCAAAGGAGTTTATAAACATTTGGGGCCCACCCCACCCAGAAATACAGTCACATGCCACATAGCGACTTTGGACTTTTGGGTCAATGATGGATTGCCTGTAGGGCAGTGGTCTTCTTCTTCTTTTTTTTTTTTATTATCTTTTTTTCTTTTTTTGGAGAGGTTTTTGCTATAGGCCGCGTGCGCTCACCAGAGACAGAGAGACAGAGAGACAGAAAGCGAGAAATCAAAAAAGGGGGCATGCCCACACCGCAATGCCTTCTCCTCCATTCTCCTCTCGGGATCTTGGGCACGCACGCACACGCGCCCGGCGTGAGTTTAAGCCACTGGGTCCGGGACTCAAACTGCAGTCGACTACATGCGAGCCCAGTGGTCTTCTAACGGTATAATGGATCTAAAAATTTCTGCCAGACGTGTGTGTGCATGCCCAAAATACAGAGAGAAGAATGGAGAAGGGATTGTGGAGTGGCCATCCTCCCTGGGGTGATTTCTCACTTTCTGTCTCTCTCTCTGGTGAGTGCACACGCCCTAGCACAAAAATCTCTCTCAAAAAATAAAAAGAATTCCTGTCACCTACTGACAGTGGAGTCATTGTAACACTTCACAGTGCAGGACAACACTATACCCACATGTCTGTGGGAGAGTTGGCATAAAACCACCTACCTTGCTGCCAGTCATGCTGTCTCGGGCATAAACAACCACACACAGCACGTAAAGCTCGACAGAGAGCTACCATGCTGCTGGGTTAGGTATCGATTCCACTGGACTCTTGATCATTATTTTAGTGTGTTCTCCTTTTACTTATAAAAAAGGGCTACTGTTGGAACCAGCAGTTGGTGTGATGGCTATGTCGCTGGACTCCCATGTAGTTGACTGCAGTTCGAGTCCCAGACCCGGTGGCTTAAAACTCACGCCAGGCGCATGTGCGTGCGTGCCCAAGATCCCAAGAGGAGAATGGAGAAGGGATTGCAGCATGGCCATCCCCCCTGGGGGGTGATTTCTTGCTTTCTGTCTTTATCTTGCTCACAAGTGCACTCACCCTATAGCAAAATCCTTTGCAAAAAATAAAACAAGAGAGAAAGAATTAAAAAAAAAAAACTAACATACATCCTAAAAAAACGATACAAACTAAAATTATCCAAAGATAATTTTATAGCAAAAGCCTCTCAAAAATTATTATAACTGTATTGTAAAAAAAAATTTAAATAGGATGTTGTGGCTGGCATGGTGGTTACGGTGTTGGACACTCCCACATGGCTGACCACGGTTCGAGTCCTGGCCCTTTGTGACTTGCTTTCTCATTTCCTCTCTCTCTCTGTTTCTCTGGTCAAATGAAAACAAACAAACAAACAAAACCAGTATGTGGTGTCATGCCCGCAGCAGCCTCCTGCATCTCGTGTTTACCTGGTCTCATGATTGCATCGGTCTCGCTAGTGCTTGAGCTAATCTGTCGTTCTGTTCAGCATGGCCCTTTCAATGAGACAAGATGTGGAGGCAAGACACCAGGGACCCTGTGGAAGCCTAGGATAGTTGTGTGTGTTTGTGTCTTAGTTCTTGACAAAAAAAAAAAAAAAGTTTGAAAAGTAAAAATAAATAAATAGTTTAAAAAATAAAAAGTCTTGGGGCTAGCGGGTGGTGTGGTGGTTAAGGGCGCTGAAACTGCACATGGCAATGCACTTTGAGTCCCAGACCTGGCGGCTTGCTATCTCACTTTCTCTCTCTCTCTTTCTGGTAAGTGCACGTGCCCTATAGCAAATTGAAAAGTAATAATAATAAAGAAAAGAAAAGAAAAAATTATGTTAAAAATCTTATAAGGAGACCAGCAGTTAACGTAATGGCTATGTCACTGGACTCCCACGTGGTCGACCGCGGTTCGAGTCCCAGACCCGGTGGCTTAAACTCACGCTGGGCACATGTGCGTGCATGCCCAAGATCCCGAGAAGAGAATAGAGGAGAAGGGATTGCAGCATGGCCATCCCCCCTGGGGGGGTGATTTCTCGCTTTCTGTCTGTCTGGCGAGCGCACACGCCCTATAGCAAAAACCTCTCCAAAAAAAGAAAAAAAAATCTTATAAGAATGCAAGGAAAGCAAATATTTTTATACAGTTATATAATTGTGTGTGTGTGTGTGTTTGCTATAAGGCACAAGCATTCACAGGAGACAGAGAGGAAAAGTGAAAAGGCACTCCCAGGGGGACAACCACCCACAATCCCTTCTCCTCCATACTCCTCTTGAGATTTTGGGTATGAATGCACACATACCCAGAGTGTTTTTAAGCCTCCAGGTCCAGGACTCAAACCTTGCAGTTGGCCATGTGGGATCCAGCTGCCTTAACCACAGTGCCACTGACTGGCCCTCCCTCTGACATTTGCATGATGACAAAAATCACCTAAGGACATATTTATGAGAATGCATCACCATTATTTTCTATTTGCATCGGGGAGCCAGTGGATAGTGTAGTGGTGAAGGTTCTGTACTCCCACATGGGTGATCACAATTCAAATCCCAGATCCGGAGGCTCGAAACATCCTGGGCGTGCCCAAAATCCAGGGAGGAGAGTGAAGGAGAAGGGATTGAGGCATGGCCATCTTCCCTGGGGGGTGACTTCTTGTTTTCTATCTCTGTGTCTCTCTCAGTCTTTCCAGTGAGCGCACGTCTCTATAGTAAAAATCTCTCTTTCTCTCAAAAAAGAAAGAAAGAAAGAAAGAAATCTAATAGTTATGACCAGAAAGAGTCAGAGCAAACTGTCACCAGTGGTGGCTTCTATGGAGAAGAGTAGGAATGAAGAGGTGTGGGGACTCTCAGGTTTTACTTCAATCGTGTCCTAACTATAGACCTACATTGGGGACCAGATGGCAGTACTGTGGGAAAATGCAATGTTCTGCAAGGCTGACCCACATGGGAAGTTCCTGGTTCACATCCAGGGACCTCCCTGACTATGCTGGGCACATATGGCTTGTGATCCAGGGCTGGCTGAAGCCGAAGGTAAATCACAGCATCAAGACTCTGTTGGAAGTGCTCTCTCTGTCTCTGACTCATGGAGGAAATAAAGCAACTTTAAAAAGGATTTTATAAAAAATAACGTAGAGTCAGTTACGGGGTGTCGTTAAGGCAACTGGATCCCACATGGCTGACTGTACCATTTGAATCCTTGTAGGGAGTGGCTGAATCTGAGCTGAACAATGGTGACCTTTAAAGATGAGCAGGGCACAGACTCGCTCGCTTGGGCCAATGCTGAATAGCCGGCAGAGGTTAAAGAAAACTATATTTTAGCCAGAGAAGGCCAGGTGGGGCTTATTTCGAACTGCAAAACACAAGATGCTCCACAGCTGCAGTTGACAATAGAAAAACACCTGGTTTGGGGCCGGCAGGTGGCGTGGTGGTTAAAGGCGCTGGACTCCCACATGGCCGACAGTGGTTTGAGTCCTGGACCAAGTCCGGTGGCTTGCTTCCTCACTTTCCCTCTCTCTCTCTGATCAAACTGGAAAATAATAATAATAATAATAAATAAAGTTAAATAAAATAATTCTTTGGGGGAGAAATAAAAAAGAAAACACCTTCAGCTACTCCTGCCCCCACTGCCCTGTAAAAGAATAAACCTGGGAACCGCTTTTGCCATGCTGATCTCCCTCAGGGATGCCCGGAGGGCCTGTTCCCCGCTTTTTCTTTACTTGTGGGTCTGTCCTTTCTGCATCCACTGCCACTCCTACTCAGGGTCCATGTCCCTGCTTCACAGGCACGTCCTGGACCCGGCAGCTTGAGAAGCTGTGTGCCCCAAATCTGGAGAAGCAAATGGAAGATGAAGGGACTGCAGCATGGCCACCCCCTACTCTGTCTGTCTGTCTCTCTGGCGAGCGCACGTGCCCTACAGCAAAACAAAACGAAACGAAAAGAACGTAGACATACATTGCTTCAGTTATTCAAATGAGGAATAATTAAATGGCACCGAAATGTCCATCAGTGGATGAGTGGATAAGCAAACTGTGGTATGTCCATACAATGAAATATTATTTGTCATGAAAAGGAGTGAAGCTCTGACACATGCTCCAGCATGAATGGACATTGCAAACATTGTGCTGAGGGAAAAGAAGCTGGTCACAAAGGACCATTTAAATGAAATGTCCGAGTAGGCAAATGTGGAGAGACAGAAAGTAGATTCTTGGTTGCCTAGAGCAGGAGAATGGTGGGAATGGGATTGACAGCTGACTGGTACAGGCTTGCTTGCTTTCTCGTTCTTCTTTCTTTCTTTCTCTTTTTCTTTTTTTCTGATTTTTGCCATAGAGTACATGCATATGCTCATCACCAGAGAAAGACAGAGGGGAAAAGTGAGAAATCACCTGCAGGGAGAATAGCCACGCTACAATCTCCTCTCTTCCATTCTCCTCTCAGGATTTTGGGCAAGCACGCACACATGCCTGGCATGAATTTCGAGCCATTGGGTCTGGGACTCAAACTGCAGTCAGGGATAAGGGAGTCCAGTACCCTAATCACTACATGACCTGCTGGCTCCCAGGGTTTCTTTCATTCTTTTTTAAAGAATTATTTTATTTATTTATTTAAATTTGACCAGAGAGGGACAGAGCGAGCAAAAGAGAGAGAGAGAGAAAGTGAGCTGCCAGGTCCGGGACTTGAACCAAGGTGGACCATATTGGAGTCCAGCACCCTTAACCACCATGCCACCTGCCGGCCCCTCCCAGGGTTTCTTTTAGAGGTGATAAAGTGATAGATGGTTGCCCAACTCTGAGAGCATACCAAAAATCACTGGATTGTACACTTTAAATATTAATAAGTGGGGGGATCAGCAGATGGCGTAATGGTTATGTCGCTGGACTCCATGCTGACCGCGGTTTGAGTCCCAGACTTGGTGGTTTCAAATTCACACTGGG